TAAATATATTATTTTCAATGATTTGCTTATGTTGAATTGAGAAAAGTTATTTTTTAATTATAACTGTATTGATGTGTTAAACATGTATTACATATGAGAAAGATGACAAATTATGAAAAATATAATTTATAAATTATAATGACATTATGTTATTTTATTGGTATACTTTTTCTATTAACTAAATAATGCCTCAAGTATGAAAATATTTTGTATCCACCACTGCAGGTACATTTCGAATAGAGCTTCCATTAAAATTTTTACAATTCCAGTGACATTTTTTTCAACTGTTGAAATATGAGCCGAAAATAATTCAAACAAAAATTCACAAAATAATAAATAATGATAATTGAAATTATTAAATCCACTGAAATTTCAATATAATGTAATTTGATCTCTGTTGGAATAGTCAACGAAATTTTACAATGACAGCTATACAAATAAAATTTCATTTAGAAATTTCAGTTAATGTCTTACCGTAGGATTTTTCATTGTAATGTACCATTTTTTTTATTCCTTTACATGATATAATTTTTATGTAGGACGTTTTGTTATTAATTAATTAATTGAATTTATAATTTTTTTATTAAATAAATATTAAACACGTGAACCTTTTTGTCCATATAATGTTTGTAGAAATCGCTTATTATTTTATCGCAAGATTACCGATTAATTTATCTATTGGGTTACATTTATTGCACTTACATATTAAATAATGAAAAGTATTATTGTATATATATAATATGGTATTTATATATTATATTAAAAAAATTAATAAAAAATAAAACATTATTTAAAATCAAAATAATTAATGTTTTTAAGAAATATAAATTACTAACCTACATGGATAGAAGTATAAATAACTATTGTCTATCATCTAAAATTTATATACATAACTAATAAAATTAACATGCGGTGAACAATTTGACTCGTTTACATCGATAAGTACAAATTTTAAAAATTCTATAATTACTTTTACTAATTATAATATTTTTATTTATTACTTTTTTTTCATAGTTATTAGTAAGTGTTACAACTTTATAATTTAATATTATTCATCAGATTTATTACTTTTTTACTTTATATTGTTTTTTCATATGTTCTTTTATATATGTGTGTGTTTGTGTGTGTAACTTTTAGGTTTGTTAAAAAATACATAAAATTAAGTATAACACTATTTGGGTCATATGTCTTATTATATAAATTAATTTATATCTTTTTATTATATTATATATAATTATAATCTTCTCATTTATACTTAAATATATAAATGTTTTATTTCGTTCATTTTTTTTTAAAACTATTTTATTATAATAACACATATTAATAGATAGATGAGTAATGATAATATACGAATATAATTTTTTTGATAAAAAAAAATTAATTTTCAACATGTAGGCATATCATGATTCTCGAGATATTTTTAATTAATTTGTAGATAATTATATGGTCAAAATTACATGTTGCTAAAGTGGTATCTCATT